AGAGAACATCTTCAATTTGATAAAGGAAACTTTCATCTAACATAATATTTAATTGAAACATAGTGAACACTTTCCCCCTATTACCAGGAACAATGCAAGGTTTTGTATTCTCACCACTTTTATTTAGTATATGTTGGAGGTCCTAGCCAATGCAGTAATGTGAGAAAAAGAAAGAAAAGGTATAAAGATTGGGAAAAACAGACATAAAAGTCTTTATTGAAGACATGATTATTTATGTAGAAAATCTTTAGGAACCTGCAAAACAGCTGTTAGTATTTAGGAGTGAGTTAAGTAAGGTCACATGAAGCGAGGTCTATATATAAAAATCAATGGTATTTCTATATATTAGTAACATTTGGCTGGTAATTGGTATTATCAAATGCTTTTTCATCATGTCAGAAAACATACTTAAGAATAAATTTAACAAAAGATGTGCAAAACTTCTAAATTGAAGTCTGTAAAACATTGTGAAAGAAATTAAACAAGGACTAAATAAATGGAGAGATATATCATGTAAATTGATTGGGAAACTCAATATTGTTTCTCCCAAATTGATGTCTAAGTTCAGCACAATCTGAGTCAAACTCTCAACACCTTTTTTTTTAATAGAAATTAATAGTGTCCAAAAATCTATATGGAAAAGTGAGGGCCAAACAAACCTTAGGTGGGGAGGGAGAACTTGAAGAGTTTTTTTTAACTAGTTTTAGTTTAAGACTTACTATAAATCTATAGTGATCAACACAATGTGACATTGTTATAAGAATGAACAAATGGATAAGTAAAACAAATGGATAAGTACAGTCCAGAAATAGATTCACACATACTAGTATGTATGTATAGTCAATTGATTTTCAACAAAGTACCAAGGCATTTCAATGAGGAATATCGTGCTGTGATGACTGGTTAAACAAACAGAAAGAAATAGACCTACACCCAAAACTACCTCACATAGTACACAAATTAATTAAAGATGGATCATAGACTAACTATAAAAACTAAAGATCTGGAAAGAAATAGGAAAGTATTTTTGCAACTTTTGGATAGGCAAGAATTTGGGGGGACATAGGAGGCACAACTGTTTAAATAACTAGAGGCCCAGTGCACAAAATTCGTGCATGGGGCAGGGGGATGGTGTCCCTCAGCCCAGCCTGCACCATCTCTAATCTGGGACCCCTCAAGGAATGTCTGACTGCCCATTTAGGCCCGATCCCACCAGGACAGTCAGACATCCCTCTCACAATACAGGACTGCTGGCTCCCAACTGCTTGCCTGCCTGCCTTCCTGATTACCCCTAACTGCTTCTGCCTGCTCGCCTTATCACCCCCTAACCATTCCCATGCCAGCCTGATTGATGTCTAACTGCTCCCTTGCCAGCCTATTTCCCCCCAACTTCCCTTTGCTGACCTGGTCACCCCTGCAGGGTTGATCACCCTTACTGCCCTCCCTTGCAGGCCTGGTCCCTCCCAACTGCCCTCCCCTGTTGACCATCTTGTGGTGGCCATCTTGTGTCCACAAGGGGGCAGATCTTTGACCACATGGAGCAGCCATCTTGTGTGTTTGAGTGATGGTCAGTCTACATATTACTCTTTTATTAGATAGGATAGAGGCCTGGTGCATGGGTGGGGGCCAGCTGGTTTGCCCTGAAGGGTGTCCCAGATCAGGGTGTGGGTTTCCTTGGGATATGGGGTGGCCTAGGTCAGGGGCCTATGGTGGTTTTCAGGCCAGCCACACCCCAGCAACCCAAGCGGAGGCCCTGGTATCTGGAACTTATTTACCTTCTACAATTGAGACTTTGTAGCCTGGAGCAGATCAAGCCTTCTGTTTGCTCCATGGCTGCTGCCATTTCTGTTGAAATTTATTTACCTTCTCTAATAGAAATTTTGTAGCCTAGAGTGGAGGCCTGGGCCACCAGGGTGTGTGGAAAGCTTAGCTTCCTCTGTTGCCAGAGAAACCCATACCTCCCTCCTGCTTTCTGTGGCTGCAGCCATCTTGGTTGGGTTAATTTGCATACTCTCTCTGATTGGTGGGTGGGCGTGGCTTGTGGGTGTAGCAGAGGTATGGTCAATTTGCATATTACTTTTTTATTAGATAAGATAGTACTGGAAGTCCTAACCACAGCAATTAGACAAGAAGGAAAAATAAAAGGCATCCAAATTGGAAAGGAAGAAGTAAAAATGTTATTATTTGTAGATGAACATGATATTATATATAGAGATTCCTAAAGTTTCCACCAGAAAACTACTAGAAGTTATAAAACAATTCAGTAAAATAGAAGGATACAAAATAAATATACAGGAATTAGTTGCATTTTTACACATCAATAATGAACTATTAGAAAGGGAAACTAAGAAAACAATCCCATTCACAATTGCTTCAAAAAAGTAAAATACTTTAGGAATAAATTTAGCCAAGGATGTGAGCAATCTGTATTTAAAAAAGTAGAAGACACTAAAGAAAGAAATTGAAGAAGATACAAATAAGTAGAAGCATGTACCCTATTCATGGAAAGGAAAAATTAACATCATTAAAATGTCCATACTACCCAAAGCATTTATAGATTCAGTGCAATTCCAATCAAGCTGCAAATGGTGTTTTTCACAGAACTAGAACAAATATTTCAAAATTTTATATGGAACCTCAAATAGTCAAAGCCATCTTGAGAAAGAACAAAGTTGAAGGAATCACACTACCTGATATCAAGCTATAGTACAAGGCCATAATTTTCAAAACAGCTTGCTGCCATCATAAAAACTGATATATAGATCAATGGAACAGAATAGAGCGCCCAGAAATAAACCTTTACCTTTATAGTTAATTACTATTTGACAAGGAATCAAAAACATACAATAAATGTTGTTGGGAAAATTGTACATATTTGTGCCAAAAAAAAAAAAAAATGAAACTAGACCAACTCACACCATATACAAGAATAAATTCAAAATTTATTAAAGACTTAATGTTAGACTTAAAACCATAAAAATCCAAGAAGAAAACAGGCAGTAAAATCTTGGAGATTTCTCATAGCAATATTTTTTCTGCTATCTCTCCTTGGGTAAGGGAAACAAAATAAAAATTAATAAATGGTACTACATCAAACTAAAATGTTTTTGTACAGCAAAGAAAACTATTAACAAAATGAAAAGATAACCCACTGATTGGGAGAACATATTTACCAATGCATCTAATAAGGGTTAATATCTAAAATTTGTAAAGAACTTATCAAACTCAACACTAAAAATTTTAAATATGGATAAAGGGCTTGAATAGACACTTCTCCAAAGAAGACATATAGATGGCCAATAAACATATGAAAAGGTTCTCAACATCACTAGTCATCAGATATCTGCAAAATAAGACCACAATGAGGTGTCATCACACACCTGTCATAATGACTATCATCAATCAACAAACAAGTGTTAATGAAGATGTGAGTAAAGGGAACATTTGTGCACTGTTAGTGGTAATGCAAATTAGTACAGCCACTGTGGAAAGAAGTGGAGTTACCTCAAAATTTTAAGAATGAAACTGCTTTATGATATACGTGTTCCACATCTGAGAATTTATCTGAAGAAACCCAAAACACTAATTCGAAAGAATATTTGCACCCCTATATTCATTGCAGTGTTATTTACAATAGCCAAAATTTGGACACAGCCAAGTGGATAAAAAAAGCTATGGCACATTTACATGATGGAATATTACTTGGCAGTAAAAAAAAAAAAAAAAAAAAAATCTTATTCTTTGTGACAGCATGGATGGGACTGGAGGGCATTATGCTAGCAAAAATAGAGACAGGCTCATAGATAGAGGCAGGCTAACAGCTGTCTAAAGGCTGGGGTCTTGCAGGACGGGGGGAGATGGGGAGGTGGTGGGATTGAGCAAAAAATAAAATACTCATAGACACAGACAAGAGTTTGTTAATTGGAGGGAGGAAAGGAGTTGGGAAAGGTGTTGGCCAGTATATGGGGGTTAAGTGATAATAGAAGGAGACTTGACTTCGTGTAGATGATGTGTTGTGGAATTGTGCACCTGAAACCTGTGTAATTTTGTTAACCAGTGTCACACCAATAAACTCATTTAAAAGTAGAAAAGAAAGCTATGTTGACTAAAAAATAATTACACTACAAATATTCGAATTAAATATTTTCTCCTTTGGGAATTGCTAATTGTAGAAAATTAGCAGTTGGTGCATGTAGACAAGGTTACTAAAAATAGGGGGGAAATTAACTATACTCCAGTAAAAAGATAGCCTTTCAGGAAGCATCAATTCTACAATATAACAAACAGCCTGAGACAAGTTTGGAGGTTTTAAGCCTGCAGTGTTATCTCTGAGACCTAGAGGAAGCAGAACATAAAAATGAGCTCCTATCAATTTGAAGAAAACCTAATCTTTCTGATCATGGCTATTCTCTAAATCTATTGAAGATGTTCAAATTCAGTGTCCTTGGTATCACTGCAGGTTGACCTGAATAGTGAGCAATAAACTTGTGTATTATAATTCTGGTTTGAAGATATGTGCTTAGGAAGTGAAACCGACAGTCAGTGTTTTGTGTCTGTCTCTAAGCAGACTAACAGCCTATATAAAATGACAGGTGCATTTTTAGGGAAAGAAACCCATAATGTTTTCTTATTTAGTAGGTGACAGTATGTCCCAAGATAATACAAACTTAAGGGTCTGGAACAAGCATGGTTATTAAAGGCTAGCAGTTTCTCAGTTCATACAAATTGAATTCTTTTCATAGGCTGGCAGACTGGAAATCTAGTATAAAGGACTGAAATAAATTAGCATATTGAGTGAATTTATACATTCAAGCTTGTGAGCACTTTGAATTTAAGGAAGAAATTTTATTACTTCTTGAAAGAAAAAAAGGCAATTCTTAAATTCTGTGTTTGATCCCCCAGTTGGAAAGAGCCTATACGATAAATTATATCATTTTGATGATTATCCAAAGACATGGTTATTATACTGATGGAAATCTTTTTCTCTTTCTTTTTTTCAGAATTACTGATTTAGGAAATATCAAAAGAAGATTGTACTTATCAACGGTCCATAAAGAACTGTCCTCAACCCCTCTCCATGCAAAAATTCCACTCTTCATGATCAAGCGTAAAATTGTAAGTGTCACATGAACTTTGCTTAAAATATTAAATTCAATTCAGCAAATATTAATTATGTGCCTAGTTTGTGTATAAGGCACTTTGTTAAGTGCTATGATTGTATAAAGGTTAATAAAATTCATACTCTATTTTTCTCACATGAAAATGCTTAAAATCTACAAGTTAGAAGAGTATAATTATTTAAATATCAGAAATAACACCAAAACTATAATGGGAAGCATATTCGAAAGGCAAGGTGCTATTGGTACTGTGAAAGGCAGAGAAATCCATCTGCTTTCAGGATGAGGAAAGGTTGCATGAAAGAGATTGCATGCTTGCACTTAATGGACTTTGAAGGATTGTAGAATTTTAACAGGTAGAGATGGAAAGCCAGTCATTCCAAGCAGAAGGAACAATTTGGGGGCTGGAAAGTAGTACATATTTTGGAGAACAGAGAACAATTGATCATTTTTAAAACTATATTTTTAAAAAATAGCTTTTAGGAAAAATCAGTCTTATAACGGCCTGGAATAGGTTGCAAATTTTATGTCTGTGGTATAACCTCTGAGAGCTGAAGCAGCATAAACTGGTAATGTATGCATAGATAAGCAATAGGCTATAGATTAAGAAACTTGGGCCTGTTATGACTGACTAGTCTCTCAAACTTCAGTCATTTTAATACCTCTATCATGACTTCCATGTTTGTGTACTACCTGTTCTATTATGTATTTAATATTTTCCTTTAAAAATCTACTCACTTTGGGGAGGAGGGGTAGGCTTAAATAAGTTTATTTTAAAAGACAACTTTAAGCACCTACCCTAAATGCATAGATACAAATGTAAGGAATCGAGGCTCATGAATAATTGGGTAAATATGGCATCAACAAAGGAAACTAATAAAGCTTTAATAACTGATCCTAAGTAAAAGCAATCTATGAACTCTCATATAAAGAATTCAGAATATTCATCTTAAAGATATTTAGTGAATGAACTTCAAGAATACATAGACAGAAAACTAAATGAAATTAAGAAAATAATGTATGAACAAAATGAGAAGTTCAACAAAGAAATAGAAACCTCAAAGAACATCAAACAGAAATCATGCAGCTGAAAATTACAGTAACTGAACTGAAGAATTCAATAGAGAACTTCAAAAGCAGATTGAACCATTTAGAAGAAAAAAATCAGTGACCTGGGAGATAGGATAATTGAAATTATTCAGTCTGAGGAGTAAAAAGAAAAGAATGAAAAAGAGTCAAGAAAGCCTATAGGAATTAAGGAACACAGTGAAAGAATATTTGCATTATGGGAATTCCAGATGGAGAAGAGAAAGATAAAATGACAGAGACAGTGTATTTAAAGCAATAAACTTTCTAAATTTAGGGTGAGAAATAAACATCCAGTTCCAGGAGGCTCAAAGGATCCCAAATAGGTTGAATCTGAATAGAGCCTCACAGAAACACATTATAATTAAATTATCAGAAGTCAACGAAAGAATTTTGAAACCAGCAAGAGAACTTACATGCCAGAGACCCCCTCATAAACTCAACAGTTTTCTCAACAGAAGTTTTTCATGCCAGAAAAGAATGTGATGACATAATCAAAACATTGTCAACCAAGAATACCCAGAAAAGTTGCCCTTCAAAAAATGAGAGAGGGATACTTTTCTAAACAAACAAAAGCTGAGGGAATTCATTACCATCTTACAAGAAATGCTAAAGGGAGTTCTTTGAATGGAAATAAAAGATCCCAATTAATATTTTAAAAGCACTAGAGGCCCAGTGCACAAATTTGTGCACCAGTGGGGTCCCTCAGCCTGGCCTACAGGATCAGGTTAAAACTAGCCCTCCAACACCCCCCGCCCAGGGGTTCCAGATTGTGAGTGAATACAAACCAGGCAGAGGGACCTCACTGGTGCAAGATCGGGACTGGGGAAGGACACGGGGGAGGAACTGCGAGAAAGCTTCAAGGTATGTCCAGCCCGTCTTCTTCAGTCCTGATCAGCTGGACCTCAGCAGCAAGCTAACCTACTGATAAGAGCATCTGCCCCCTGGTGGTCAGTGCACATCATAGCAACTGGTCAACTGATCAGCTGTCTGCCCCCTGGTGATCAGTGCACGTCATAGCAACTGATAGAGCAGTCTACTGTCTGCCCCTTGGTGGTCAGTGCACATCATATAATAGTGAGCAGTTGAGTGGCCTTAGCATATCGGTTAGCATATTACACTTTAATTGGTTGAATGGACGACTGGACACGTAGCATATTAGGCTTTTATTATATAGAATAAGAAGGCAGTATAAAATTCACTGGTAAGGGTAAATACATAATCAGAGTTGGATTCTGTATAGGGTAATGGTGGTATGTAATTCCTTTAAAACTCTAGTTTAAAGTTCAAAAACAAATGTAGTAAGAACAACTATCACTACAATAATCTGTTATTAGTTACACAGTATAAAATAACCTAAATGTAAGGGTGATAAGAAGTAAAAGTGTAAAGCTTATGGATTCTACTGAAGTTATTAGTTTTAAAAAGGGTGCTATAATTTTAAGATGTTTTATGTAAGCCTCATGGTATCTGCAAAAGAAAAACTTGTAGTAAAACAAATAACCTAATGTAAAAATGGCCAAAATGCCTTTACAGATATTTTTCAAAGAAGACATATGAAAAGCCAACAGATATATGAAAAGGTGCTCAACATCACTAGTCACTGGGGAAATGTAACTCAAAACCATAATGAGATATTACCTCATACCTGTTAAGATGGCCATCATCAAAAAAACAAAAGAGAAAAAAAAAGAGCAAATGCTAGTGAGGATGTAGAAAAAAAAAAAAAGAAAAAAAAAGGAACTCTGTTACACTGTTGGTGGGATTGTAAATTGAGACAGCCACTATGGAGAATCCTCAAGGAAATTAAAGATAGAACTTCCATATGGTCCAGCAGTGTCACTTCTGGAAATATACATAAAGGAAATGAAAATATTAACTTAAAAGATACTTGCATTCCCATGTTCATAGCAGCATTATGTACAATAGCCAAGACATGGAAACAAACTAAGTGTTAATCAACAGATGAATGGATAAAGATGTTGTGTGTAATATATACACGGCATATTTTTCGGCTATTAAAAATGAGGGAATCCTGCCCAGCCAGCTGACTCAATGGTTGAACGTGAACTTATGAACCAGGAGGTCACAGGTTGATTCCTGGTCAGGGCACATGCCTGGGTTGTGGGCTCCATCCTCAGTTGAGGTGTGCAGAAAGCAACCAGTCAATTATTCTCTCTCATCATTGATGTTTCTATCTCTCTCTCCTCCTTTCCTCTTTGAAATTGATAAATATATATATATATATATATATATATATTTTTTTTTTTAAAGTGAGGCAATCCTGCTATTTATAACAATATGGATGGACCTTGAAGGCATTATGCTAAGTGAAATATGTGAGACAGAGAAAAACCAATACAATATGATCTGACTTATATATGGAATCTAAAATAACAATAACAATAAGATTCATAGAAAAAATAGAGCAAATTTGTGCTTACCAAAGTTAAGGGAGAGGAAGGAGCAATTGGAGAAAGGTGGGCCAAGGGTACAACCTTCCCAATTATAAGATTAAAAAGTATTGTGGATGTAGTCTATAGCATGATGACTATAGTAAACACTGCTGTGTGATATATAGGAAAGTTGTTAAAAGAATAATCCATAAGAGCTCTCATCACAAAGAAAATATTTTTCTTCTCTTTTCATTTATCTACATGAAATGATGGATGCTAACTAAATTATTGCACTAGTCATTTCAAAATATATGTTAAGTCAAACCATTATGCCATACACTTTAAACTTATACTGATATATGTCAGTTATATCTCAGTAAAACTGGAAGAAAGTAAAAAGAAAAACTTTATATGTCTTACAAATGGAAAACCAATGTAAATTTGCAAAAATTAAATGTAAGCATCAAAATAAACATACTGAAAACAAAACAATAATTTGTTTTTTTTTTACTTATAGTAACTCATTTAATCCTTAGATCAGTTGCAGATGGTTATGTCTGCCATTTTTCTTGAAAAAACTGAAGCTCAAAGTGATTTAGGCAACTTGCTTAAGGTTCTGAGCTAGTGAGTGAGAAAGCAAGATCAAATTCCAGCTGTAATTCCTTCTCTACCTTACAACCTCCTCTTCCCCTTCCACCCTTCCTCTCACCTGATATCCCTGTGATAGGAATCTTCTGAAGCTTAGAATAGATGCCCAGGTTTGGTTGCACCGGTGGTAGGCCGAAATGCCTGCCATCTCTGTCCACACAGCCTCACTCTTCAGTCCACTTGGTTTCTAAGGTGCCACACCCGTGTGAAGTGACAGCCTATTGGTGATGGAACTCTTCTGCTCTCCACTTCCTATCCTCGGAGTCATTTAATGCCTCTCCTGTCTACCACTCACCATCACTTCACAAATGGTGCATGTTCCACTCTTTGAGGGCCACTGCAGTAGAGAGAAGGAAGCCATTTAAACCTTTGGTTTAGAGAGGAAAACACAGGTCTTTATTTTGAGAAAACTAATCTGATAGTGATATTTGGAGTGATTTGAAAAGGGTAGAAGTAGAGATGAGAAGAACATTTGCAATAATCCAAATCGGGGTTAATGAGGACTAGGGCTGCAGCAGTGAGGAATGGATGTGAAGCAACATCAGAAGCATATAAGCAAATGAGCTAAAGCATCTATTATATAAGAAGACCTCTTCCTTGTCAGGTGGCACATACTGTGAGAGCAGGAACCAGTGAGCTGTGAATCACAGGGGAGTGGTCAGGGAAGAGCCCTGTAGAAGGATGCCTGAGCTTGGAGGAATCGGAGTTAACCAGTTTAAGTGAGGGAAGGGTTCCTAGAAAAGAAGGCAGCATTAAGAATAACTGCATGATTATACATTATTATTGACTATATTCCCTCTGCTTTACTTTACATACTTGTGAATATTTTTATAACTGGTAATTTGTACTTCTTAACCTCTCAACCTTT